GCCCGGTGCAGGCGGCCGCCTACTGCCCAGGCCACCCGGCCTCCAGCCTGGCCGTCCAGGCGGCCGCCTGCAGGGCGCTACAAGCCGCCGGGCCCGCGCGACCAGGTGAGACTACGAGGCCCGGGAGGGCGCGGGCGGTGGGCGGCTGGGGTCGGGGGGAGGCCCCCAAGTTGAAACTCTTTGGGTCAGCTTCACTCCTTGTGCACCACAGTAAACTGAGGCCCAGAGAGGGGAGGTGCCTAGCGCTAGGCCTTCCAGCTAGCGTGGAGCGGGCCCTGGGCACGGGGTCCAGTCTGTTCCGAAGGATCCAGAGAGCATAAGAGACGCAGGGGCTTGGGAAAGCCGAGCAGACCAGCTCAAGGCAGGAAAGTTGGTGGAGAGAGGGTTGGACTCGGCTGGGAGCTGGGGGGGAGGGAGAGGAGGTGAGAAAGCCTCAGGAGGCCCAAGTTTCAAGGTGGAAAGGGGAACAGAACTGGGACCGGGGGTTTGGCGGTGCCAGGAGCTTCTAGGACCCTGTGCAGCTAGGGATGCGCCATGGGGTCATAGGAATAGATGCCAAGACTCTGAGTGTGGGGAAAGGGTGTGGGGACTGAGGGCCCGGAATTTTCTAATCCTTCTTGGCTACGCACTCTGGTTGTGCACCCACTGCTGCGTTTCTTTCCACGTTCTCCTGAAGCGTAGGGAGGGGAGTGAGGGTCTTTTCCCAGCCTGGGTAACTACCGCCATCAGCATCCGGTACGGAAGGTTTTACAAGAGCTTTTCAGGGTCTCAGGATTAAAATACACTAAGTATAGCTGGATCTGGCAAAGCTGAGGGATGCAGGATTGTTCTTTGCACTCCCAGATCCCTTCCTGCCCCCACCTTCCCAGCACCTGCTGCCCTCCAAGCCCTCCAGCCTTCCCTTCTTGCTAAAGAGTTGGGGCTCGATCCCAGGACCCTGAGACCGTGACCTGAGCCGAAAGCAGACACTTAACCAGCTGAGCCTCCCAGGCGCCCCAGAATCTTTTTTTTTTTTTTTTTTTTTGACAGAGACAGACGGCGAGAGCGGGAACACAAGCAGGGGGAGTGGGAGAGGGAGAAGCAGGCTTCCCGGCTGAGCACGGAGCCCAATGTGGGGCTCGATCCCAGGACTCCGGGATCATGACCCGAGCTGAAGGCAGCCGCTTAACGACTGAGCCACCCAGGCGCCCCCAGAATCTTTGTTTTTTTAATCAAACGGTTGAAACTAGGGCAGTTGATAATTGAGGCTCTTGGTTTGCCGAACAGAAAATCTCAGTCCTGTCAAACATGCTCACCTGCGGCATCTGGGACTTTGTGTTCTTCCTAACAGCAGGACCCTGGGAGAGACCGGGCCTCCCGGCACTGCTGGCGTGCTTTTCCTGGGGTCCCTGGAGCCGGGGGAAGGATCCAGATGCCACCTCCCCCGGTGACCCAGCTCAGGGTGAGTGTGCTGTCTTCCTGGCCTTCTGAGGGCCAGGTGCTTGGGATTATGGGGTTGGTCCTGTGCACACAGGGACCTGAGGGATAGAGTTGACCAACATCCGTGGAGCATTTGCCATGTGCAGAGCATGGAGGTGAGTCATGTGAGGTGCTCCTGCCACCGGGCAACAGGCACATGGGCCCCCCAGTAGGGCCCTAGCCCCATGGATCTCTCATAATGAATGCAGTTGGTGTGGGCAGGGCTGGAAGGCAGGTGTCTGCCATATGCACGGTGGGGTGCTTGGAGCCAGATGCATTCCATCTTCCCCTGAGGATCCAGGGAGCATCAGGAACACATGACATCAGAGCTAAGGGTTAGAGATTGTCCTAGGCAGAAATGGGAAGCCTTGGAGAGGAAGCAGTATGAACGAAGGCTTGAGGGTATGATGTCATGCTCAGAAAAGGAGCCCCTGTTAGGAGTGTGGGTGGGGGGCAGTGAGGTACAGGAGACTGGGAGGGCTGAGGAGGAGAGCTGGGACCAAATCGGGACCCTAGACCCAAGTCTCTCAGAAATAGTGAGCTGCTGACCATTTCTGAGCAGGGGTGTCCAGATTAGGGGCGTTTTGGAGAGGTGACAAGACTGTGGAGCAGGGAGAGACTAGAGGCAGAGCCAGTTAGGAGGGGACTGTCTAGTCCTAGGAGGGACAATCGGCAGCCTGGACCCAACACTGGCAGTTTGGGAATGAAGAGGAAGGAACTTAGCCAGAAGCCTTTTCTAGGGTAGGATCCTCAGGCCGCTAAAGGGAGAAGGGGGGGAAACACAGTTCTTCGAAGTCCACAGGAGCACCTGCTGAGGCTGTTGTGAGAGAGCTAGAAAGTACTGGGGGAGTAAGTTGTAAGCAGCTGAATGTATGTGTCCCACAGCCCCAACGTGTACCCAACAGCACGCTCTGTTACAGAAACAATGCGCAGTGGTTTAAAACACACTTTTCTTGTGTCCCTTACGTTTGAAAAAATCATTAGGCGAGGTGTCAGCCTTCCTTCAGCATGTAAGACGTTACCACAAACTCGGGGGCTTAAAACAACACGCATTAATTCTTCACGATTTCCATGGGTCAGGAGTCTGGGCAGGGCCTCACTAAGCCGCATCAGAGGGTCGGCCAGGCTGCATTCCTTTCTGGAGCCTAAGTCCTTCGCACTCACGTGGTTGTGGGCAGAATTCACTTCTCTGCTGCCTTCTTGGTGGCCGTCAGCTGGGGCCCTTCTCAGCTCTGACAGCCATCCCTCTACACGTCTCTCCAACACAGCAGCTGCTGCTTCAAGTAGCAGGAGACTTTTCTGGTCTCCGATTATGTCACTCAACCACAGGAGGAACTCACACTGTTGTCCTCTATGGTGCCCTGATCAAGGGAGTGACCATCCCATCCTAGTCACAGATTCCACCTGCACTGAAAGGAGGTGATTATACAGGATGAGTACACCGAGGGGTGGAAATCTTAAGGGTTGTCTTAGAATTCTGCCTATCACGGGTGAAAGCTCAAAAAATTTGAGAAAGGAAAACAAGTATGAAAATCATTTGCTTACTCCCATCCCTCAAAAGTAATTATCATCTGTATTTTGGCATAGACCATTCTGCCCATCTGTCTGTCTACCTAGCTGTATATCTCCTTGTGCTATTTAAATTGTAATAAATGCGCTTCTATATAATACATGAATCATCTACCAAATGCATCAGGTATTTAAAGCATTCCATTGCAAAAATGTTAACTTCAGTCTCTCCATCGTCATTTTGGATATTTCTGGAAACCAAAGGGAAAAAATAATAAAGCAAAGGAATCATAAATAATTTTACATAAATCTTGGATAACTCCCCTCTCTGTAGCATATAACAATTTTTTTAAAGTTTTATTTATTTAATCTCTACACCCCACGTGGGGCTCAAACTCACGACCCCGAGATCAAGAGTTGCATGCTCGGGTAGCCTGGGTGGCTCAGTCGGTTAAGCATCTGCCTTCACCTCAGGTCACAATCTCAGGGTCCTGTGATCAAGTCCAGCATCGATCAAGTCCAGCATCGAGGTTCTTGCTCAGCAGGGAGCCTGCCTCTCCCTCTGCCCACCTCTCCCCCTGCTTCTGCCCCATCTCTCTCTCTGACAAATAAATAAATAAAATCTTAAAAAAAAAAAAAAAAGAACTGAATGCTCTTCGGACTAAGCCAGCCAGGCATCCCTGTATCATATAACAAATTATTTAATCTCATGTAGAAGTGAATGTATTAAAATTAAAATTGCATTCATAGACTATGCATATGCATTTATACATAATAAATATGAGATTATACAGACAGACATTTATACGTACTCTTTTGGAATCTGCTTCCTTCACAATAACAGATTGTGAGTGTGCAATATTCCATGGCAGTAATTACATTATCAGTAACCTCTTTTCTCTTCCAGGGGAATGGTAAGTAATTGTAGATTCACATGCAGTTGTAAGAAATCATACAAAGAGATCCTGTGTACGCTTGGCCCAGTTTCTCCCACTGGTAGCATCTTGCAAAACTATAGGATAATATCACAACTGGAATATTGGCATTGAAACAATCCACAGATCTTACTAAGATTCCCCCAGTTTCACTTGTATTTGTGTGTGTGTCTGTGTGTGTGTGTGTGTGTGTGTTTAGTTCTATGGAATTTTATGCTTTTTTTTTAAGATTTTATTTATTTACTTGAGCAAGAGACTGCATGAGCAGGAACTAGGAGCAGAGGGAGAGGAAGAAGCAGACTCCCTGCTCAGCAGGGATTATGCATCATTTTTAATGCCTGTATCGCATCATGTGGGTGAGCCATGGTTAACTCAACCAGTCTCTTCTTTGGACATCAAATAGCTTAGGATGCTTTCAGCTGCAGGTAGAGAAACCATGACTCAAGCTGACATAGATAACAGCAAGAGCATTCAGTATCTCACCTAAAAGATAGTCTACAGGTAGAGTCAGCTTCAGAGCTGATTGATTCTGGGGCCCAGTGACCCCATTGAGGACCCAGGTTCATTCCTTCTCTCCGCTGGGCCACCCTCCGTGTCATTTCATCCTTGGGCTGGTAGCAAGATGGCAGTTCCACTAATTATTCCTAATTATTTCCTTAGGATAAAATCCTAGAAGTGGAATTGCTGGGTCAAAGGGTATGTACATTTTTAAGGTTCTCGATATGTATTATACTGTGGTTTTTAAGTAGATATTTACTGGGGCCAACTTCCTCCCCTTTCATTCCTGGCTTACTCACTCTTAAACTTGACCTTCTGGTTGGGTGATTCCTTCTCTTGTGTTCCAGATCACCTCCAGGACCCTGAGGAGAAGCTGGTACTGACAGCCATATGTCCCAACGGAGACTGTGAGGACCCCGGGAAGGGGCCGAGAGCCTGTGATGGACTGGTCCATACTCCTGCAGATCCCGTTGGAGATTCGAGATGAGGGCTGGACGGCTGGGCTACCCGCGCTCTAACCTGCACGCTGGGGACTGGCTCCTTCTCACTGAGCCCCCTTGCCTCCATGTTGACCTTGGAATGGTGGTAGCTTCAAAGGCCCCACCTGTAAGGGGACTGCTGCGTTGAACCAGCTAGGAAAACTTATTTTCCTGGAACCTGCCCCCCACCTCACATTTGCTCACTCTCTGATCACAGTGAGGTTATTTGGTCTTTCTGTACTTCAGTTTTCCTACTCACTGGGACAGATGGCTGTCTTCTTTGAGGGTCTATGGTTCTGTGGCAGCCCATGGTGTGTTTGCATTAGTATCCATCATTTCAAGTGCATCTGGAAAGGACTCTGGACCAGAAGTCATCAGATCGGGGGGGGGGGTGGCCTTGGACATGTCATTGAACTTTTAGGGGCTTGTGTTTGTGAAACAGACAAGTGTTTGTGTTTCTCAAACACAAGCCCAGGGGCTCTCAACCAAGAGCTAGGCTGCCGTTCCAGGCAGCAATAGAAACTTGTGTGGGTGAGTGTGAGAGTGTGTTTTGAGGGGGGGGTGGTTACTGTGACTATGAGGTGCCCCTGGCACTTAGTGCGTTTCTCACAACATACGGGACAATCTCCAACAGCAAAGACTTGTTCCACCCAAATTGCCCATCATGGCTCCTTCGAGAAACTGGATGAGCCAATCCCTTTTCCCTGTGAAATTCTAGGAAGTGTGTGACCCCCGCCCCCAGCAGAGAGGGTTGGGCTTCCTGAGACCTTGGCTCCCAGCATAAAGACTACACTGCTGCCCTGGGGGCCTATTGGGTCAGAGCCAAGACAGCCACCTGCTTTGCATGCTCCCTTTCTTCATGTTGACGTTGACTTCCTATGCCAAATCCTTTGAAAATAAGGATGCTGGGAAGTGCTCATGGCACCAAACAAGAAAGGTAGGAGTATGGATTACAAGGACATGGGACTTTCTTTCGATCTCAGGCCCTTGTCCAAGGTCAAAGCAGACCCAGCCCAGAGGTGCCAAGTTCCTGAATCCTTTTTCCTCTGTTTATGAGTCAGACAGGGTTGATGATGTTCCCTTAAAAGCCAGGAGAGCCATCTGTTCACTCGTAGAAGGAACTCTGCATTAACTCCCTTGCCTTCCTCGCCTGCCCCTGGAGAAATGAAGTCTTTGGAATGGCGAGAGCAGCTCCTGATTTTCCCTGGTAGGAAGCACTATCTAAGGGAAGTAGCTAAATTCATTCCTTCATGCACGATTTGCTCGGCAGACATGCAGCTGGGCTACTCTCTGCCCAGGGTTCTACAAGGTGCTGCATACCTTCCAATAGTTACTTCGGCTTTCATCTCTGGTACCAAAATGTGGAATTGGAAACCTGTGGCTGAGGGGCTGTGTGATATCAAGGAGGGTCCCTCCTGGCTCTGTGCTTCAATTTATTCTTCATAATAAGCAGCCTAATTCTGTCCCTTCTCTGCCTCATGGGGATAGCGTGAGGGCAGGCAGGGTGTCATCGTATTTGGGGTTGGTTAGCAGCAGGTGTCGTTTTAATATTGCAAAGCTGTCTCACCAATAGGTAGACCCAGCTGACCTCCTACACGAGAGCGAATTCAATGAATTACCGTTGATTTTGTTTTAAAATGGGGAGACTGGTGTTTTCGAAGCTGCTATATTTTTCTATTTCTCTGTTAATTTCTTTGTAATAATTGGGTCAGAGTTGTATTATTTGGTGTGGGGGGGGAGCTTTTATTAAGGTAGGAAATTCTCTAAGGCAGAAGTTACAAGGCACAGCCTCTACTGTGTTTAAAAACCTTTTGTATTTGTTGCCAATATTTGAAACTTGAGAGATTGCACATAAAAAAGCTAGCTTTCTGGGTGGAGGATGGGGCATGCCATCATGTCCAGTTCGCTGCAACCCCCCTCCCCTGATTGGAGCCCCCTTCCCACCCATCTAATCCACCTCTCTACTTTACTTCACTCGTACATGCCACCTGCCTGGTCCCAGTGGACATTCGAGTTTGCAAGCCTGTGGGGTAAAGAGTGGATTACATATAACTTTTTCATTATTTTCAGTGTCTCTGGTGACTAGCTGAAGAGAGAAGGTCTTTCCTGAGATTTGTGTTCTGCTTCGCAACCGGGAAACACAGGACTGAGATTCTCTGGGGCCCCGGTTGGCTTTCTTGACACATGGCTATGTGCGATCTTTTTAGGAATAATCTAGTTGGTATTTTCTAGCAGACACAAGAGTTAGAGGCCGGAAGGGATGACCTTGGTGGTAGGTCTCTTCCCCAAGGACTCCTATAAGGCATGAAGATTGTGGTGGGCCTGTCTGCGAATAGAGGCCCCGGGTTAGGTCAGTGATACCAGGAGCCACTGGTGAGGGCCTCCGGTCAAGTCACAGTCTGGGCTGGTGGGTATTAATCCTTCTAATATGGCAGGAGTTGTGCTGTTTCTGACTTGACTCAATAATTCCTTATATCTAATAAAACCAAACAGTACCTCATTGCTGTCTATCAAAACCAGAACGGATCTTTCCCTTTATTCTCATAAAGCGTTCCTCACAGGGGCCCTTGGGGGCAGGGCGCCTGGGCAAAAGGTGGGAACCTCAGGAATAGTTTGGCCTGAAAGCCTTCCAGCCCTGCTGACATCTCCACAGCCCAGTCGGCTGGGATTGGAAAACATGTAGCTGGAAAGTAAATGTTTGAAAAGAGATTTTTTCAAAGATAGCATTTGGCTCGGTGTTCAACAGGATGTGTGCGTTCGTGTGCACATATGAGCATGTTTAACGAGACAAAATGGCCTTTCTCTAAGTCTCAGAGAGCCCTTTATAATATTTGTATCTTGGTTTCTCTCCTCTCAAAGTATTTGTCTCCAAGACTCACCACGCAAGAGGAGTCCTTCAGTCGTCAAACCAGGAACAGGGCAAACTTGCAAAGAGGCCAAGGGTCAAGGCCCCCAAACCAATGTGCTCTCAACAAGCCCCTCTTATCCCCAGCAGAGAACCCAGGACCCAAGCTCACGGGAAAAGTCGATGACAGCCGTGTTAACCTGATAGCAGTCTAAACTTCAAAGGGTAGCAGCACCATGCTGCGGGGCTGGTTCCCCGTGGTCGCGAGACCTGCACTTTGTCCTGTTTGGATGGCAAACGTAACCAGTGCAGTGGAGAGAGCCTTTTGTTTTGTACCCACGGACTGCACAACCCCCTCCTGACCTGGTCTTGTGTGTTAGTGGATCGAGGATTGAGACACACCATTGCTGGTGTAATCTCAAGAGTTCAAAGGAAACAAGGTACAAGGCAGGGTGGATGACCAGGATCCTGCATGAATTCTCCAGATGCTTTTGGCCCCCTGAGCCAGAGTCCTCAGGTTGCCTTATACTTAGGGCTGCCTAACTGGGAGCAGAATCAGAGGCTACTCACTGGGTCATGCCGTGGTTCACAGAGATTCCAAAGGGACCAGGGTGTGGAATTGCTCAGGTCCAAAGTTGGCCCGGGCACTGGGGCCATTGTGGGTCCAGGGCTTTGGCAAGGGCGAGAGCCCTGGCTGCCTTCCTCCCTGAGCTCCCTGACCGGGACTCCTGCTGCAAAGGCAGGAATTTTTGCCTTTCACCTAACTGGTGAAATTCAGAGACCCTCAGGTAGGAGTTCAATGTTAAGTCTTAATTCAGGCTTGTTGCTGTCCTGTTCTGCACTTATTCGGAGCAGTTAGGCACTTAGTCCTTGTGACCAAGCCCGCATTTTGAGTCCTGGTTATGAACACTGGGTCTCTTGTCTTCCTGCCCTGCATTTCTTCTTTTCCTCACTGGTTAATGAGGGCTTCTCAGATCATTGCCCCAACTCTTGACTACCCTAACCACCTGCCATTCCAGGGATATTGCCCATTCCAGAACCCCTAGCTGCCAGGGCAGCCACTCTGAGCCCCTTGCTCCCTGGCAGGAGGGGATCTCAGCGTTAGCCTCTGCCCCTCAGTCTGGGTTGGTCAGCCCTGTGCCAGCACCAGAGAACAGGGCCAGGCCCGGATGGGAGGTCAGAGGGAACAAGACCTCTGGGTAGGTCTAGACCAGCCCCACCTAAGAGAAATCTAACACCAGGCACATATGTAGGTTTAGATTTTCTAGTAGCCACATTAGGAAAAAAATAAAACAGATGGAACTAATTTTAATAATATATTTTATTTAGCCCAGTGTGTCCAAAATAGTATTATTTCCACTTAAATATAAAACATTTGTAATGAGACAGTTTGCATCTTTGAAATCCTATGAGACTTTTACACTAACAGCTTGATTTAGACACTAAATTTTTATCCAAAATACTTGATCTGTATTTAGATTTCATGAAATTCATAGTTGAAAAAGGAGATTCACATCTCAAATTGCTCCAGATGTACTTAAAAGTTTCTCAATAACTAAATTGGGCGTCAGTCTTTAAATTTTAATGAAATAAAATAAAATTGAATTTAAAAATCAGTTCCAGGATTTGCAATAGCCGCATTTCCAGCGCTCAGTAGCACCTGTTGCCAGGGGCTACCCGATGTGAAAGCCAGAGTCTAGAACACTGGAAACGTGCAGGAGACCTGTCTTGGGGGTTTGATGTGGCTCTTCCCGCACCCCCCCCCAACCCCCGATCCCCAGCCAGGGACCGGCTGTGGCTTCCAGCATCGGCTTGTCGGTTGCCCAGGATGGGAGCTGTCCTCCTGGACGCTGTCCCTAGGGGGAAGAGAGTCCAGCATCTCAGATGGCTTTGCGGGTCTTTTTGTGCCTCAGTCCACCCAGGTTGATTCTGGCCCCATCCAGGCGTTTCCCTCCCACCAAGCACCCTGACTAGAGCACCTCCCCTCACTAAGGGCCCTGCCAGGCAGGTGGGCCGCTCCCCTCTGCGCCTGGGGTTGGGTGACCACACGGCCACAGCGCCGCCAAGTGGCAAAGCAGGGATTTGCTCCCGTGTTTCCTGGCTCCGGCGACGCCTGCCCTTATCAACTCAGACCGCTGCAGCTCAAAAAGCAGTCAAGCCCGGTTCTTGGCAGGAGCAAGCCCTCCTAAGACCTAGGATTCAAACGCCGGGAGGCTGGGCATGGGGGCGGGGGTGGGGTGGAGGGAGGGATGTGGGTGGTCGCAGGGCGCTCGCCCCCTGCGCAGTTCTCCGCCTTCCGGGGAGCGCTGTGGCCACTAGAGGGCGCCGCGCGGGCCAGGGAGATGCTCCGGGCAGAGCTTAGCCCTGAGCCCTGTTGAAGGTGGGCACCCAGGCAAGGAAAGCGCCGGCTCTGGTTTCCTCCCTTCACCCCTACAGACGCCCCGGCCCGGCCAATACCTGTTTGAGCCCGCAGATGACCTTGTTTGGGCTGTGAGATTTTTTGCGTCACTCCTAAATTTGGAGACAGTTGTTTATGAACAGAGCTCTGGGTAGGAAGTCTTTCTGTGATTTTGGTATGTCCTCAAGCTTCTTTGAAGATAAGTACATCTCATTATAAAATCTTGGAGAGGGCTAGGGCTTCAGAGACATAGGTGTGAGTTCCAGCATTGTGCCAATAACTGGCTGGCCCTGCATTCATCCATTTATCCAACAAACATTTATTGAGCACCTACTGTGTGTCTAACACTGTGCTAGTTACTATAGGGGATGCTGAGATGAATACGATGTGGCTCGCGCCCTTGAGAAGTTCCTAGTCCAGTTGGGACCTGGGCAAGGAGACAGGACAATAGCTGTGTGGGCTAAGGGCTGTAAGGGGACGCACAGTGGGGTGGTCAAGAAAGGCCTACCTGGAGGAGGAGCTGCTTGGTAGCTGGGGGGAGAGGGAAGAGCAAGTACCAAGGTCAGAAACAAGGTACATGCTGCATGGCCACTCTGGGAGCCGCAGTGGTTCCAGATGGATGGAATGTGGCCTGCCAGGGCAGAGGGCTGGGACATAAAGATTGAGGGTAAGCAGGGTTGGGCGAAAGTCTTAGAGGAGACAGTCCTTGTCTTCCTTGTTTTTTTTGTTTGTTTGGTTGGTTTTTTTAAAGATTTTATTTATTTATTTGAGAGAGAGAGAGCACATGAGAGGGGGGAGGGTCAGAGGGAGAAGCAGAC